GGAGGCTACGATCATGATATCTTTTTTTCTCTCCAAAAGTTATTTCCTGGGCTGGATAGGGTTGTCAGTCATATATCAGCGGGCGGCGTTCCGGTGTAAAATTGGGGCTGGGATGGGTTTTTGAACCGGGGGCCCCGCCATGCTGCCGTCTTGTTTGCGGTGCTGGTTGTGTGGCTCGGTTGACGGATGGGTTGAAAATAGAGGGATTGGCCTTTTTTTCCACCGGCTGGCCTGTCTTTGCTTTTGAGCTCTTGTGTGTCATGTTTATACCATTCTGGGTGGGCGTTGATATGTACCATTCATCATTGGAGGGAAGGACGAAGGAAGGGAAGGCAGGCATGGCATGGCATGGCATGTATACCACAACCATCACGGCAAGGCCAACCATATAGACGTTTCGAGGAAACGAAATCTCCACTCTGCATATATTAGAAGCAGCAAAAACAATTGAAATGGTACCACAACACTTCGTAGCTGATGATGTGCAATCTAATGATGGTTTGTTTGTGACCCTTCCTAGCCCGAATAAACCTATCTCAACCCACCCGTTCCCAAAACACCAATGAAAGTTGACCAGCGGTCTTGATCGAGCCAGCAAACACACCACCGCAGTCTTGGACTGCACAGAATCACTCGATTCACCCTCAGCCCACACTAGGGCAGAAAGAAAGTAAGCAAAGCACACGAAGATGAGTCCATTTGGATCTTATTGAGAACTTGAACAATGAAATGAGGCACTTGCCTCACGAAGACAAAGAGATAGGAGTGAGATACGACGATGGGCACTTACTTGCCTTTCGAACAAAAGATCTGAGATAGGTAGGTTATGGTAAAGAGACTAAGTAGGATGTGTGTAGGGAAAATTTCAACCGTAAGGGAAAGGAGGGAAGAGAGATGAATGACATAGAAAGGAAAAAAAAAAAAAAAAAAAAAAGATTGGGGGGGGGGGGGAGAAGACAAAAGGACAGAAAATCAGAAACAAAGGAGAAAACGCAGGAAACAGAAGGAGAAAGAGAGAGCCAACTGAAGCATCCAGGTATCATCTATCTGAGCCACACCACTCGGCTCAGCTTGCTTATTGTGAAATCTTCTTCTTCGAAAGTGAATAGATAAAATTGGTATTATTGATTCGATTCGGGAAATGGCGAATCGTCGGGCGGGCGGTATAGGATTGGATCTGAAAACGCCGTAGATGGTATGTTGAAAGGCTTGTTAGTAAGGTAGACTACCTACATAACTCTGCGCGAGCGAGGGTTGAAACGGGCAGAAGGGGGGTGGGTGGGTGACTTACCTCCGGAGCCTTCTAGGGGTTATTGCTGGTAGTGCCGTGGGATGATTTCAGTTCGTTCGCATGATGTTCAATGGGGAAGAACTGCTTGTTTGAGACATGTTATGTTATGTTAGTATACGAGAGAGGAGAGGACTCGCTTACCTAGGTACCTTTGAGTGGTTGTTGTCTCTTTGGCTAGTTTGACCTAAGAGGAGTAGGTTCCATTGTTAGCTGTCTAGAAGGGAGGAGGGGACTTACCAAGATTGACAAGTGCTTGATGAGTCCTTGAGGAGTGCGGATCCGCTAGGTTGAATGATCTGCAATGCGCTGATTCAAGTCATTTCGGCCTAGGAAGTAGTTACCTAGCTTCTCTGTGAAGGGGAGGTGACTTACCTACCTACTATAGGTAGTAACTTCTCGTCTTCAGGGCTCCACCGGTTTGCCTATAAATGGGTAGTTCCGGTAGCTTGCCAACAAGGGAGCAGATGACTTACCTCTAATGCGTCGAGATTTCGACATGGCTCAATCTCGTCCGACCTATTAAACGTGATTAGCTTGCCAGATTGGAGAAGGGAACCCTGAACCTTTGAAGTGATGACTTGAAGTGGAAGTTTGGTGCTTTTCGTATCTGTTCGGACCTAGAACTAGTCATGAGTCTAATGGGAAGGGGGTGACTACCTAACTTACCTTTAATTAGTAGTGTTAAGTCTCGTCGCCCTGGAAACCATCCGTCAGCCTGGAAACAGAGGGAGGGTAGCTTCCCTGCGAAGTGATCAATTGCGACTCCAATCGGTTCGACATCGGTCGGTTTCTGTCAAATGCTCTGTCAGCTTCTGAAGGGGGCAGAATGTTGACTACCCGTGAAGTATTGTGTCTGGATTATTATCGGTGTCTGCTGGCTCGTCCTAACAGTCGTCAATGGTCAGCTATTTTGAAGAGAGGGGCCTAACTCACCTTGTGGTCTTATCGAGTTGACTCCGAACTGATTGCTGACCTGAAGACAGGAAGTTAGCTTGATAATGGGGGAAGGATGGCTTACCTGGTACCTAATTGGAGATCGGAAAATGACTGGGTCAATGGAGGGTGAGAACAATGTCAGGTCAGAGTCCCAAGTCGCATTTCGTTCTGTGGAAATGTTAGTAGACATTCAAGACGTGGTTGACTTGCCTCTGTCAAAGTGGCGAGTACATTTTCGGAAACAGGAGGAAGGATTCGAGGTTCGGAGTCGGGACCGGGCATCGGACGCCGTTCTACGAAGTTGTTAGCTTTCCAAGAGAGGGATGTTTGGCTTACCTGAGAAATAATAATTCGTCTGCTGCAGTGGGATGAGGTCCGACCTAGAAAGAGTCAGCTGTCAAGCCAGGGGTGGGGTCGACTTATCTGGAGTATTGCCTTGGTGGAATTGAATGGGATGGGCTCTAACCTAGCAAGAGTCAGCTTCATTCCATTGGGGAGGTCAACTTACCTGGAATCTGATAATGCCTTGGCGATATTGTCCTACAAAGTAGGTGTCAGGTCTCAGTTTAAGGGTCGGGATTGACTTACAGGTGCCGGATTGTATTTCCAAGATTGTCCTGTAAATAGGTTGTCAGCCTTCCAACAAAGGGATGTTTCACTCACCTGCGCAGTAACGGGCTTGTATCTCATGGGTAGGTATGCTTCGTCCTAGAAGTAAAACTTAGCTTTGGAACTAGGAGGGAGTAAACTTACCTGCCATTGTCTCCTTGAGCTGTTGATTCTGTGAGAAACTTGTCAGCATTCAATCAGGGGAGGGGTTGACTAACCTATGAAAAAGAGCATGCTTTGGTAAAGAGTGACCTGCGGATGAGTACCTAGTCAGCATAAAACTTGGGGAGGGGTGACTAACCTGTAAAGACTTGCGTTGGAGGAGAATACCCTGTGAAAGAAGTGTGAGCTTTACTCAAGGAAGGGAGGGGACTCACCTGTTACATGTGGCCTTCCTCGGTGTGATCGTCTACTGATTAAAAAGTTAGCTTGAACTGAAGGAGGGCTGACTTACCTGCAAGGAGTTGCCCTGATTGATGTCTTTCGTGATAGGTTTCTGAAAAAATCGTCAGCCTCTCAATTGGAAAAGGGGTGACGTACATGTGAAAAGGGAATGAGGGACTCCGAGTTTGGTTCTATATAGGTAGTTAGCTTAGTTCCTAAAGGGGAGGGATTCCTCAACTGGTAGATCGTAAAGTAGGTAAAATGGCAGTGATGGACACCGCCTTGGAGATGGTGATATCGGGTTGTTATCTGTAAATGATGATCAGCCTCGTCTCGATGTGTTAGGAATTGTTGGTTCAGATGAGGCTCTTCTCTTTATACTCAGCCGTGATATTCGTTGTTGAAGTTGCTTTTGTGTTCGTGATCTACAAGTCATGTCCAAGATGTGCCGCCTGATGACTTCGAGAAAAATTTCCAGAAATATGGAGGCAGCCACAAGTATTTATGCTAACATTCCCCTGAACAATGTGGGGGATTCCGTTCGGCCCATGCCGTGAACAATAGATTGTTCCTCGAACGGGACTTGGATGGAAACAAAGAGTGTCTGTCCTGCCTTTCCTCCGGGGAAGCATCCCGGTCTTTATGGGTCACCTTTGCTCAATGCCTGGTAAAAACCATTGGCTGAGGTTCTCTGTCTTCGACTACACGGGATCTACTTTCGTTCCCCGGCCATTGTGAACTATTGGTAGCACGCGGGTGTGGCTTTCTGTTGTTCCTCGGAAGTCGGGTCCTGCTCACCCGGCTTTGTCGAGTACCGGAGCTCGGGTATACCTCGACCCAAGCAGGAGCCGTAACCCTGGACAATGGACCAAGCCGGGTCTTATGGTAGCTCACGGCTGGCGTTCCCAACCAGCCACAAAGGCCAAAGAGTTCCTCGAAAGTGTTTGAAAAAAGGTGAAGTCGAAATAAGAATACAATATACGGGTTGCTGCCAATTGGATATGGAAAGAACAGCGCATTACCACAATGCCAGACCAATTCCATAAGTCTCTCGGCGGTGGGAAGTAGGAGCAGTAAAAAGGGAAACCACGACATAAGAAAAAGGCAAAAGAAACATAATCCAGGGATCATAGCCGGTGGAAAATGCAAAAGTTATGACAAGAGTGGGATTCGAACCCACGCCCTTTCGGACTGCGATACTCAGGAATCCTGAACACAGCGCCTTAGACCGCTCGGCCATCTTGCCTTGTGATGTTGTTGAATATCTGTTTGGGTCAAGAGCTTATAAAGCTAACATCCAATACGTGCAATCCTTGGTTCGGATATCAAACCAACGACGCGAAACATGGGCAGAATGGATTGAGTTGGATGCTTGCCAGAAAGAAGTATCAGGCAAAGGGGAGCGTCGCCAAGAAAAGAATGAATACGCACTTTGGGGTAGGGTTGGTCGCGACAGCCACTGATATGGTCATTTCAAGCAACCAGAACTCAACATTGGGAAAGACCGTACAACAGTAAAAAGAAACCAGAGTGAAAACAATCCAAAACTCCCATTTGTTCCGTTAGATACATTCTCAGGCACCTTGACCGGGTAAGTATGCCTCCCAGATAACCATAAGTTGATGATAGTCGAGGCAGTACACGTGTGTGCTGTCTCTGTAAAACGATCGAAAGATGTGTTCCCAGCATCTAAACCGGAAAGCTGACGATCAACGTCCTCATGTCCTCCTTCTCCGATCATTCCGAGCCCTCGAGCTCTCTCCATAGCCAAGTAGAAACATGAGCATTATCTGTTGTTCCCCCTTGGTTTCTCACCTCTTCAGATGGTTGCACCCAAGCAACCAATCTCTTCCGCATTCCCTAGTCATCACTTCAAGCAATGACAATAGTCCGCTGTCCCAGCCCATCGCCCCAGATGCCGACAACCGACATCAAGAACGCAACGCCAGCCACAGCGCTCTGGACAATGTTCTTCTTCAAGAACACCTCCACGTTAGCGCGGACCTCCTCGCCATTGACATTAGCCAGCTCCTCCTCGACATCTTCCGAGCCCGACTCGCTGTGGGAAGGATCACCGAGAACCTCGTAGCTAGCCTCCAAGCCGCGCGGCGTGCTGGTCTTCTTCTTCTGCTGGCTGCTGCGGGCGGTCACGAACGAGACGGAGGACATGCCGGACGAGAACGAGGCGGGGACGGCGGGGGTGATGAAGCTGAAGTAAGGGCCGAAGAAGCCCGAGGTGATGAAGCGGGAGCCGAACACAAGCAGCGAGGTGTAGATCAGGTACGGGTGGCGGTAGGCGCGCGGGGAGAGGTAGTAGGCGAGGGCGAAGGCGGAGCCCGAGACGGTGCTCAGTGTGCGCAGGTGCTTCTTGGCCGAGGTGGATAGCGATTCGAGCGCGCGCGCGGCATCGTTTGCGGAGGGGAGGGTCAGGAGAGCGGGAATGGTGAGGGTCGAGAGGGTGAAAGAAACGCCCTATGCAAGAAGTTGATGGTTAGCGATTGAACAATCCTAATCAGCGTGCGATAAGGTGAAGTCAAGCGCGTAAGCTCGAATCTTGAATTGCGCTCCTCGGTGACATGATATAAAAAAGACGAGTGCCGAAGTAATAGCAGTTGTCCCGGCAGCGGAAAAGAAGAGGCGCGGGAGAGATGGACGTACTGTTAGGAGGCCGAGGGACACAGTCCCTACAAACTTGAGGACGGAAACGCCTCTCGTAGTCATGATGGCGACCTGGCCGTCAACGAACGGAGGAAGATGAGGAAAGTCGATGTGAGATGGAAATGGTTGGTTCACAGAAGGTCTGGAATCTCGGCGTGTCGGGTCAAGAGATGTCAAAGGCAAAATCCGAGTCTACAAGCTTCCTCAGCTTGGGAAGTGGGGGATCACATTAGGTGCTATCGTCCGCACAGAGGTCCCGCAGCATGCGATTGCGGGCAAGTCATGACCGCACGGCAACACCCACCACCCATCACTGCCAGCCAGTCCCGTTCTCCCGGCCACACGCGGGCCTGCCACCTGACGAGGGGACACCACAATGAGATAAATACGGTCCATTTCACCACGTCTTTGTTCACCCGCCCTCGGAACTCTTCCCCCGTGTGGCTTGACACTCGAGTCCTTTCAATTGTTGTTTGAAAACTTCCGGCCGTTAAGGTGGCAGAAGCGGAGAGCGAGCATGGACCAACAAGCAGCAGTTCCCCATCATGTTGCGTCATTGTGAAGCTTCCGGCTCCTCCCCCAGATTCTGTCGACAAGCTATACTAAACCCTAACCCTGCATCGCATTTGGAACAAACCACCATCAGACGGGAGAACTCGACAACACAATCACTCTGAATAACTCGGGCATCATTGAGCTCTCCTCCCGCCGAATCTCAACAATGAAGAGTTGGATCGTCAAGTCAGGCCGTTTTCTTTTAACAAGCCGGCATGAAGCAAGCGTTGAAGCATACGTCTGTCATGTGAACTGATGTTTTGGATCGTGCACCTCGTCGTCAGCATTTTTCTCCTGATAAACGCTACCCATTATACTCGAGGCCGCATTTATAAGTACTGCTTCTGGCCATAACTATCACATACGACCATAGATGGTAGAAAACTCGGGATCCCGTCCGCTCTCCCATAGATAAGCTACCAATCGCCTGACTAGTAGTTGGGTCGGTGACGACCAGCGAATCCCAGGTGTTGTATGTTTTTCTTTTTATTTTTTTTGCATTTTTTCTCATCAACTCACTATTATGAACTCTTTCTCCTGTTCAGTTATCTCCATGTCCAACGTTTCTTTGCATTGGCTCTTTTTCTTACTCCTGTCCACACGGTTTATACTAAAGGAGGCTCTTCAAGCAGACCATGATTCAAACGCGTTGGGCAAGATTTATTGGTCTCAGGCCCGTTCTCACAAAGTCGTACTTTGGGAAGTCGATAAGCAAAACATTCCTGTATGCATGCTTGTAGCCTTACTAAAACCACCGAGTGGCTACCTATAGTTGTCCTTCCTTTCCACTGGTCTGATTTCGCAAAAGAGTCAGTGAATTCTGTTACCGACAAAGACGCGGAGGGATGGTATTTGTGTTGACAGATGCCTTCGGAAGCTATGTTAGTGGAGATTGGATCATGCTCGTGAGTTGGTGGAGATATAGTGTCCGCCGACTGAGTGGCCTGACCATTTCTGGAGTCGGCACCGTCGTTGTTGGAGCATGAAGGTGCTGCCATCGCTGGGGTAGTGGACGTCGGCCCCCGCCATGTTGCTGATGAATAGTAAAAAGTGCATGAGCAATCGTAGAAGCTAGTGCTCAAGCTCAAGTGCATCCTGGATGAAGATCCAAAGAGAAAACATATCGATAACGCTGAGTAGAGAGGGAACAATCAAGCATGACACAACCTGGGAGAGATCGCAGGGCTTTGAGATCACAACCCAGTCTACAGCCGAGACGTATCCGTCAGGTCATGACAAAGTGCTTGCTCTGTCCACCACCTCAGTAAAAGGTCTCGACTGCTAATAGCCCATCAGCTCCTCGGAGTGTATCCAATACAATCACCATGCCCTTGAAATCCACTTAGACAGCAACAGCAAGACAGACCAGATGGGAAACGGAGGAACAGACGATATGGACCAATGAGAAAAGAAAAGCCCTTGACCTGATCAACTGTCCACTGTATTACTGAGAAAGCCCTGCTCGTTCATCTGAAACCGGCTCCAAACACGCTTTGTAGGTAGTAGGTATTTCCCTTCTTCCCCACGCTCGACACACTTTTCCTCCCTCCTTCACAAACACCCTCCGTGCCAGGTGGTTTAATCCAACGCCATCCTCCAAAGACCATCACCAAGGGAATGCGCCTCCTCAATCACCGGGCCCTTACCCTTTTCCTTAATCTCCTTAGTCCCCGCAACCAGCACACCAACAGCACAAGCCTCCTCCTTACCCTCCGCCAGAACCACAACCGGCTCTCCCTTCTCCAGCTCGCGACTCCAGTGCCCTTCCTCATCCGCGCCCTCATTAGGCACCTCGATCTCGCTCTCCTCAGCCTCGGCAGCGCTCTTCTCCCTCGGCGGCCTCTCATGCGGCAGCGGCAGACGACCGCCCTTACTCGTCAGACCGGGAGCCATCAGGGTCGCGCCGGACAGGACAAAGCGGATGGCGCCGCGGTCTATCCTGATGGTGGGGAAGCATTGCGGGAAGCGGTGGACGAGCTTGAGGTGGGGCACGATGGTGTTTTGTTGCGAGGGCGTGTCGGCCTGGAAGAACAAGGGGGTGGTGCCGTCGATGACGTAGAGAGAGACGCGGTCGGGAAGCTTGATCTGCTCGAGCGAGGCCTTCTTGGGGATGATGTCGTCGATGAAAGGCATCAGGAGCGGGTAGGTGGTCAGCAGCGATTGGCGCAAGTTGCGCTGGATCGAGGATTTGAGCTTTTGTTTGGGCGAGGGGGTGATACTGTTGGAGAGAAGGGTTAGCGGGTGTTGAGGAGGCGTTGCGATGGCGGGTAGTAAAGTGGCATTGGTTAGGGATCAGGGTGGGGGATGGCATACTCCTTCTTGAACATGTTGGCGGTGTTTGCGTCGCTGTACTTTGCGACTTTTGTAGATTATGTGTTTTTAGTATATCAGAACTGTATGTGCGGAATTCGTAGTCGTCGTAGTGGCGGGTCTTGATGTAGGGACCGTCGCGCTGGGATGTGTGTGTTGGCAATGGAGGTGAACAGAGTGCTTCCGCGCTGGATTCAATGGAAACTGAATGCGACGGTCGCGACAGGCGATTGATGGCGGGGGAGGGGAAGAAGTCGAAGGTGGGGCCTCGATCTCGGCTTGCCAAGACCGCCTTGCTGGGATGTGCAGCAGACAACAGCCGCGCAAAAGCAGCCGGGGACAAGGTGTCGTCATAGCGGAGCCGATAGAGGGACAGTTGACGCCGATAAGGTCCAACCTTTCTACAGATGGAAGGGGTCTACAAAGGGTCTCCGGGGCAACGGCATCTACACTATACCAGCCGTCAAGGTGCTCACAACAAGTTGCAATAAGTCATGACAGGGTGGTACTGTATGTAAATTCATCGCATTCGTTAAACACAGCGCCATGCTGGTATCTCCATAACTCATAACTCGCTTAACTACTCCAGGTCATGCCATCATGTCCTCAAGACTGGTATAGCCATCTTCATCACCGCTCTTTGTTCCTCTCTAACCGTGGAGAACGTGGCTGACCTTCCCATCCTCGCCCACATGTACGTTGAGACGGTCAGGGTTGAAGTCCTTAGTAACCATCGAACCCGGCTCGATGATGCGCGTTTGCTCTGGGAGGTCTTTCTTGCAGAAAGTCTTTGGGCAAGAGAGTCAACTTTCTTGTCCAGGCACCGTCTTTGTCGGCATCAACAAATGGAATGTTCTTACAGTCTCCGAAGTGTGGTCAGCGAGGGTCTTGCCGCACAACTTGTTCATCCACTCCTCCGTCTTCTGGACCGCGGGGTCGTTGGTCGTAACGCCGGGAACAACGAGAGGCATTTTGTCGGGTATGTGTGTTTTCAAAGCTGAATGTGGTGGTGCTTGAAAGAGCTTTTTTGTGTGATTTCAAAGTTTATTAACCTGCAAATGTCTTGGGAATAACATGGAATGTTGTTGTTGTCTTCGTTGTGTTCCTCTTTATAGAGACACTCGAACTTCCCCTCAGTGTGCTGGAAGCCAAGGCGATGACGTAGCAACCTTAATGCTTATCGCCAATCACCGTAACATTGGATGAGCTAAGCCACATTGGTCACGGGGTCAGAAGGGGCTGTCAGTGAAGCTGTGAGGCTTAGTTTGTTTGGCTGGTCAGAATAAACGGAGCAGATATGGTGCAATGTTGGCGTCGAAGAGGGTCGTTTAATCTGGCCACAGCAACGGCTGGAAAACCTACAACATCTGATTTTGCCGTTTTCTTTCCTGCTTACGCATGCAACTCATACACTACGGCTCAGGGTTATGCATTTACCGGCATATATACATGAGGGAAGCATGGTCTCGGTAGAGGTGATTCCGAGACCGCGCCGGGTATGCAACTACAGCGTCTACAGGGCATTACTTGGGTACCTCTGTACATGTATTTTCAGGGGACTTTTACTGCAGGCACATTTCACTTTTCATCACACGGTCAATTTCTGGGACTTGTTTGTTTTCGGATCATTTTCGTTTATTGATCCCAACCCTGACGGCTATTGACGGGTGTGGTGGTGGTTGCTTCCTTGCAAGAGAGTGTCGGAGCAAGTGTTGCGTGGAAGATTAATTGAGGACGATCACCACCACCACACCCATCCTGTTGGGGCACAGGCCAGTAAAACCCAGTGGGAGAGAAGGTCTCTGTGCCCGCCAATATAAAGAAATGATCCGAAATATGAGTGTTTTCGGTTCTTGTCCTCCCCGTCTTCTTGGTCCACTTCAGCTTTCTTCCCCGTCTAGGAGGAGGACAAGGCGGAGAGGTGGAACAATGGAGGGCTATATGGTTGATAAAGGAAATCGTGACGAATGACTTTAGGGAAAACACCCGCCGGCCGTCTTTTCCGTCCAGGAGGAGGAGATGGAGGAAGAGGAAAGGCGGAACAAGGCGGGAAAATGGTGTGCTAAAGGCAAGGGAAAGGTAAGAGCTGGTCGAGGGTAAGATGCCAAGGTATGAAGCCGCCGAATGTCGCCGCGGTCGTTCTTCCCTGTTGGCAACACAGCGCAAGCCAAGCTAGCCTAAAGCTTTGAATGAAAATCCGGGGGAGTGGTGTCCGGGGGAGTGTTGTTTCCCGTGGATGGTGATGAGGTATCGTCACTTTCGTCGGGGCTGTTCGTATTGTCGTTGGGGGCCTCGGCCGTGGTTGCCTCCTCCGCCCCCTCGGGTGGTTGGCTCCCCTTTGCCGCCTTTTCTTCCTTCTCACGCTGTTTTTTGGCTTGCTTTCGCTGTTTTTTCTCTTCGCGCTTTTGATCGCTCGCTTGGATTTCCGGGTCCATTTCTGCCAGAAGCCTTCTCTGCTCCTCCTCTTCCTTCTGTTTCCTCTCCTCCTCCTCCTTCTTTTTCTTCAACGACTCTTTCTGCTCACGGTGTTTCCGCTCCCGTTCTTCTTTATCGCGTTGTTTTCTATCCAGGGTCGCCTGGTAAAGCTGCTTCTTCTCTTCGCGGATTCTCTCTTTCTCGGCCCGCTTCGCCTCTTCCTCCTCACGTTTCTTCCGTTCGGTTTCTTCCTTTCGGAGCCTCTCCTTCTCCTCTCTCTCTTTCTGACGTTGGATCCTCTCGTCCTTCGCTGCGCGCTTCCCACTTCCGTCACACTTCACGCAGTCCGTATACGCCCCATGATGGCCGCTCTCGCCGTGAATCTTGCATGGGCGCCAGTGCCCCTTTTCAATGCAGCGTAAATCGCCCACAGCCTGGCACTCCGGGCTGTGCATTTTCAACGGCATTTTGTTAGCAGTCGGGACTCGGCAGTCCGGGAAGAGTGTGAAGCGCGGACGCGGCTATCGTGCGCATCTCGTGAGACTCGAACTCCAGGTTGTGCAGAGTTGTGTCGGTTTTGGAGTAATGAATCACGAGCTTCAGAATGTTCGGACGCTGCCAGCTCCGTTGCACTGCTTGGCACACGATCGAGTAGCTTAAGTTGACTTCGCTCGAGAATATCCGTCGTTGCGTGCCGCTCGTTGCTCGTGTGGTAAGAAGGCGGGAACTTGAACCGTTCTTCTGGCTTCGGGGACTCCATTGTGCTCAACTTGGAGTTCCAATCCCACGAGACGGTACGGCATCTTTTTTCTGTGGAATTCGCAGAAGGCTGTAACTGCCCGAACTCTCCCCCAAAGAGCGGACAGGTGGGACTGTCAAGCAGAGCAGGCCACTCGGGGAAAGGACAATGTTTGTTGGCTCAGTTGTTATATTGATACAACTCAAAATAAAATCGAGAAGTGGGCGTTGGGTAGTACTCGACTTTTGAACATTCGTCCTGTAACTGGCCTGCTACTAATATGCTTTTCGCTTTGCAGGGGAGTGGGTTGGGCAGACTAACTGCCTTGCAGAAGGCCACAAGCAAAGACGTCGACCAACATCTACGCCATTTTAGTACAAGGGATATTATGGGTTGGACTCACCAGTGATGCTGCTTGTTTTTCGGAGGCATCGTTGCCTCTATTCGCACTGACTACTCGTCTTCTCCCTTGCGCCTGGTCTACTACCTGCTTGGTTGGCTGTACTACCGATGTCGGATCGGTTGCGTCGGAAAGTAATCGATCTGGAGTGATCATGCATAGCCACGATGGCTTGCTAACAAGCACTGTTAGCTAAGGATGTGATGTCGACCCCTCCGCTGTTGATAGCAAAGGGGATGGATGACGCTTGCTGATTGTTGGTCGGTGAGTAGGACTTGGGATTCGATGGATGATTTGTGTGTATGTAACGGGCGATATCAACAGCGGAGGGGTTAGATGGCTCCTGATGGTTTCTGGTCGGTGGGCAGGACTCCGAGTCGATGGATGATTTGGTGACGGGATAACAGGGAGGGGTTGGGTGACGCCAGATAGTTGCTGGTCGGTGATCAGGAGTCGATGGGTGCCCCTGATTTGTTTGAGTGATGACGGGCAGATGGTCAATGGTTGATGCCTTTTCGTATGGTAGGAAAATTTCTGCTCGAGATTGAAGGTTGGAAGAATCAAGAGAGACGCTTTTTCGCGTGCTTTGAGAATTGCTGTTTGAGGTTAGGAGCTCGGTAGTAAGGTATCCAAAAGAAATGTTTTTTCGTGTGGTAGGAAGGTTGTTGCTCGAGGTTTGAAGGTTGGAAATACCTATGTGAGTTGCTTTTCCGTGCTGTGGGAAGAATGTTGTTCGAGGTTTGAGGGTTTGAGGGTTGGAGGAATCAACAGAAGGTCAAGTTTTGGAAAATGAGGAGGGTTTTATATAGTCGTGGGAGAGAGCTGGGAGAAAATGGGCCTCCGTAGCTGGGTCAGGTATATGCACAAGTCATGCATATACGCAGTTCTCTAGCAACCCTCATGTTTTTTATTATATGTCCGATCCGGATATTTCTGGAGTCGTTGTCGGAGAAATTTCTTGCCAGACGCCATTCAGAAGCAAGGTATTCTCTTCCGGTGTCCCATATTTCTTGTTTATTTTTTCTTTTTCCAGTTTTTTTCTCCGATGGACACAGCATAAATTGAGGTTTTCCTATATAATTACTGCATATATTCATTGTTGACCACACGGCTCATACTGTTCACCGAGTCCTGTTACGTTCAAAATCATTCCGAGTTTGCCTTCAATCGCCATTCGTCAGCTGATTCCAGGTTTGCCTGCGCTCATCGGACTTGTTTTTCTCTTCTTTTTTTTTTTTTTTTTTTTGCCATGTTGCTATCTGGTTAACCCTCCTTTCTCAGGACGGCGTATGATCTGTTGTTCATTCCCATTGTCTCAGAACAGCCGCACCGAGTTCTCATCAGGTTTAACAGGTTGTCCTTGGGGGTTTGTCCTTGGGAGGGAAGGGAGAGCGGGATGTCGTTGATAATCCAACCAAGGGGGCCGACAGACCGGAGTGCGAGAGCCCACCATCCTGCGAAAATACCCAATGCAAGCCTCCTCACCTTCCTCCGTAAGTATCACGGACGACACGGCATCCGACCCTTGCAGTTTTGAAAACAAGAAAGTCACATCCCAGACCAGGGACATTGTTCCTGTTTTCCAAGTCACGCCTGTTCGTTTTTTGCTATTGCATCGCATATTAACTGTTCCCCAAGATGGGCTCTTGATATAGACAGACTACTTACATATTTGCGGCCCCGTCCTCAAAACAGGGATTGCATCAGAGGTCATCGAGGTAACCGGAAACCATGCGTTCCTGATGGCGGTTCTGCATTGCAGTGATTAAGACGATGTCCGAGGCCTCCGCCACCGGCTCAATGGGGTGGTTCAAGCCACTCACCATTAAGCGGAAAGGATATCGCGAAGATGTTGCGGACGCTCGCTCCTTGGAATTTCATAAGGGCGAAGAAATTCATGAGAAAATTTGTTACGGCAGTTACCAAACAAGCAGAAGATAGTGCCTATGATATGGTTCACAACAAAGTATGTATGTATCGTGGAGAAGCGGAGAGTTTGATGGTGCGCTGATGCAGAAGTTTTGTCGTGAGTTCCAGTCAAGGAACGTGCCGATCTACTCCTGCCTCCAGGATATCGGAATGGAAGAACAGGAAGTCTCGAACTTGGTCCGAAAGCGTTATCTCGGTAACTTCCACTTAGGTTGTCGGGGAAGAAGAGGAAGGATCTTTCCAACCAGGCGAAATTTTTTCATGGCGTAAGAGTTCTGCACAGGGCAGTAATGGGGCAGATCCTTCGTGCCTTCCAGTCTCTGCCACTGCAGTCCACACATTCCACTTGTTCCTTTTGCCTGCTTCATCCAGAATGAAAAACCGAGCTAACATGAGTGAACGCCGATCTTGGAGCATCCACGAATCTAGTCACATTCGAAAAGGACTTGAGTTTATATTGGGCGCTAACATACTCAATTCGCCATGGGCAGGGAACTTGCCAAATCCGGATGTATAAAGCGGGCAGATAAAAGTTCGAGCCAAGACCAACCGAGATGATACGTCAGAACTCCACGAAAGCTTCACCAAAGGAGGCATATCCAGGGCCGCGAATACCACAGCGGCAAATATTGCCTTAAAGGCTGAGTGATGGACATTTCTGTGAGTTTATGGGATACCAGAGCCCCAGGCCTGGTCTAGATGGTCTTGCTGTGGGACTGCACTATTCACCACCGGGGTTTCCTTCAAAGGCGGTGACTGTATGATACATGTCAAAGAATAAGCATAAGTCTAGAGTTACTGTTCTGTCCGTGTTCGTTTGGGCAAGTCTAGACGCCTCCACGGTTCAAGTGTGGAGGCAGAATCCGAGCATCAGCCTCGGATAATTCGACCCCAAAACGTTGTAGCGTGGTCTGGGGTAAGCTAACGTCCACTCGGTACCAAACATTGAAGAAACCGGGGTAAACTGACGACGGCGACTTCTTATTTCAGAATCAATAATTCCGCGGGTTGTGTTGAGTGTTGTTGCGGAAGCGCTGTGCAACCAGTCTTGAGGATACCGAACGAAGGGTCATTCAACGGGAACTGGACAACATTGATAGAACAACCATATTCCCAGCGGAGATATCAAACTGCCACTTCTCCAGAGGGAATGCTCTTGGCTAAAACCATTAACGGATCTCACTGCTATGTTTCCAGATCTTCAAAATTAGAAAGCTTAATGAGGTCGACGAATACGCATCAGTCAACCTAGGGCATTGCATAATATTGACCGCGTGACAGCTCAAGTCCGAGATAAAAGCCTAGAACTCCTGCTCCGAAGCAAAAGAAACCGTTGGTAAAAGATCGTGAGCTCGTCTTCAAGAGGCGTAGTAGTTCGCGGGAGCCACCTAAAGAGACGATACCCCCACAAGGCTTCTGCCGCATACGGACTCATTATGCTAAGAGGAACATCGTCGTCCCAGGAGGCGTCAAATCACAGTAGACAATTAGACAGTCGAAAAGTTCGGTAGCCTGAGCTTCTCCCATGATCCAATGATGTTTGTGAGAAGGATTCACTACGAAAGGCCAAGGCTGTGATGTGATGAACGACTTCACCTCACAACATTGACCATGATGAGAGGATATGTCACTTCATTACGTACAATTTGGACATCATGAGTGTCTTCAACACAGCTTTGTAAGGGTCCAAGTCAAGGGCGACGACGGTGACGGCATCCAGGCCATCGCTAGCGCAATCAGACAAAGCTGTCGAAAAAGAGTGTCAAGAACAGGGGGATGTCGAGAAGAAACGGACACGAGGGGAAAAAGTATAAGTAGTTGGCCTTCTCGTGCTCTACAAGAACAAAACTCATCATCCAACACAGCACAGAAAACAAAACATCAAGAATAACACAATAGCCAAGCTCGGAACACCAAAACACCATCACCACAATGAAGTTCACCACCACCCTCGCCGGTCTCACCGCCCTCTTCGCCAGCGCGGCCCCAGCCTCTGCCCAGCATGCCACTTCGGCTACTGTCACTGGCTTCTCTGCCACTCGCAACGCGACCCATATTAAGTATGTTCTCCATCTTTCTCCCCTTCTACTTCCATTTCACCCTTTCCCCCTTCCTCTCTTCCCCTCCTCCCCTCCCCTCCACCCCTTCATTCTGCCCTTTTGACCACCCCCTCCCATCCAACCCCATGCAACCCCCCAACCAACTAACCCCCCCTCCTCCACAGCTACCGCGCCACCATAAACGTCCTCCCCGAAAACGCCCTCGCAACCTTCACCCACTCCACGCCCGGCACCGCTCTGCCCACCAACAGCGGAGCCTGGACTTCCACCGACCCAAAACTGGTCCTGCGCTTCAACGTCGTCAGCGCCGTCAACCAGGTGCGCGTGTTGCTGAGCGATACGCATGTGGTTGCCGCGACGGTGAACTTGGATTACTTTAGTCCTTATAGCGATTGGGTTGGTGCTGGGAGTGCTGTTTATACTGGGCCTGCGGCGTTCACGCTGGACTAAGGGACACAAGAGACTGAGGATCTTAAAATTTTGACGAGGGGGGAATGGGGGGTGTTTGCAATTGGGAAGGGGGGATGGGGATTGAGGTGGGATATAACTGGAGTTTTGGAATGGGGGAACACGGCGGGGGAAATCCCGATGCAGTGGTAGGTAGCCGGTAGGGAAGGAAGGGGATAGTGGAACTGAGAAAATATATCAAGAAAAGCCTTTCGGCACCAAAAACATCTCAGTCCCGTAAAAATGTTCCAAGTGAGATTTGATGATGAAATGCCTGGGCTAAGAATTGTTGTTGTGGATGATTGCATCCAGCCCACGGCACTCAAACTCGGGGGCAGAGTGGGAGCGCGAGGATTGCGAACATGACCCACCACAACGTCGATGAAAGCCGCCATGGACACTCGTTGATATCTCACCCACCGAAACTACAAACTGCATGATGAAGCTCATAGTTTGTAATTCATCTGTTACCGCTCCAGGTCGCATACTCGTGTTATTCCTTTAGGCATCAGATGTTTTTGTTGCTGATGGGGTTACAGGCGTGTTGTTGGTCCCGCATATTCTTGATCCCGCATAGATGCACTGCATCCCAATGCTCGGAACACCAGCTAATGATTGAAGTGCAGCCGATATTTTCTCTCTGGAGATTTCTCTCCGCCTTCCAATAAAATCCGTAAACTCTGGTACCTCCCAGTTATGCAGCACGGCGAATCGTAAGCCGTGTATTGTCACGGGGTGTTCATGTTGCCACTCTACGGACGAGGCGGGCTTAGGAACTCGACCGTTCGGCGTGGCACTGCTTTGCGGATCATGAACATCGATGCACCTGGAATAAGGTAGAAGAGTTGATTGATGCAATGCAATATGCGGCCCATGCATGGAGGCTCATTATGCGGTTTGTGATGGACTACAAAGGAGGGTATCTGCCGGACTTTCTAACTGCGCCGGATCACCGAGCCGCAACTCCTCTTTCAGAAACAGGTTTGGGCTTCAACGGCCCGCCACAAAACATATTCGCCGAGAATGGCATCACGAGGCCTCTTCAAGATCATGAAGTTTTTAGCATGCTAAAATGACGAATAAGGATTTTATCAAGACAACAGCCAATGCTCCCGCCCGGCGGCGGCGGCGCTTCCTTGCGGAAGACCGAAAGGCCGCCGGACTTGTAAAAACGCCACGCACCCCCCTCCAGTCCATCCGCTCTTTATCCTTTACTACCTACGCAAGACAATGCATTCACTACCTCTACCCAGTCGCCAACGACAAGACTTTGCAAAAACCCTTTCTTTGTCTTCCAATCACCCCCTCTCGTCTATTCCAACACCGACATCAACAATAGACCAATCACAGCACCCTGACTCCCCCAACAACAGATGACCAAAACACCTGATTTCATCCAACAACCCTACCAACCCAACTCTCAACATCAACATGGACCGGATTACCTCAAAGCAGGGTGTCCCTCATTATGATCCGAGAACGGGTTCGGCGCACCGCCCGTAACGCCCGCTGCGCCCCCATATCCCGTGTCGGCCATATGCGGCGGCGGGGCCGGGACATCATCATACTCGTTGTTCAGCGGAACGCCCTGATATCCACCACCACCCATATAACCCGTGTTACCGCCCATAAGCGGCTGCTCCAACATATGCTCCTGCTCCTGCTGGTGCTGGTCGTGGGTGGGGGCGGCAGCAGCGCGCTTGTTAGCGACCATGGCGCTCGTCTTGGCCTCCTTCGCAATCTTGGCCGCCTCGGCCGCGCGCTCGAGCTTCTTCATGGTGCGGCGCTCGCGGCAGCAGAAGAAGCACAGACCGCAGACGGCCAAAAAGATGGTGGCGGCGAAGTAGATGGCCATGACGATTCCCGCCGTGTCGAGACCGGACTCCTTGTACATGCAGCTGATGCCCTGGCCGTTCTGGTTCTGGCAGATCAGACCCTCGACGCACACGTCGACGGGGACCGAGGTCTCGAAGCAGGGCAGCCTCTTGCCCGAGGCGGTGCCGGTGGATTGGGTCGGGCACGACTGGATCGACTTCTCGGACTTGGTCAGGCAGATCAAGGGGGATTTGGGCCGCTCGGTGCCGGCGACGGGACGGGTTTCGATGGTCTCACCTGCGCGGGGCAGGATGGGCGCGGCGGTGATCTTGGTCATCATGAGGGCGACATCGGCGTCGACGGGCGCATCAGTGACGGCGGCGCGGGCGACGGCGGCCTGCGCTGGCTTGACGGGAATGCGCAGGCGGTGGTTGTTGAAGGCACCCTTTTCGGAGCGAGCGCCCAGCTGATGATGGGGGCGGGCGGCGGGCCCCCCGGAGCAGCGCTTGGCGGCGATGGCGATCTGGCCAGGGGTTTCCTCGTCGTTGCACCCGGAATCGATATAGCATTTCGTCAGGGTCTTGCGGTACTCGGGGTCGCCGGACGACAAGTTGGGGGGAAACGTGGAGAAGTAGTGGTTGAGAGCGCCCTCATCACCGCAGGCGGAAATGGCGGCCAGCTCGTGGCTGCGCAAGTGCAGGCATGATAGTTCAGGAACTTGCTGTGCGGAGGCAGAAACCGGAGAGAAGAGAAGGAGGGAGAGGGAAGCCAAGGCGGCGAGGGACGAGTGTTTTGTTGCTGCCGCCATCTTTTTCTTTCTGTTCCCGTCAGGCTGGTTCGACTTGGCGGGAGGACGGGCGGTCGTCGGTCGGATCGGATCGAACCGTGGCTTGCTTGCTTCGGAATGGGATCCGATCAAGTGTCGAATGGCAGTAGCGGTGGAGCTGGCACAGAAGGCGGGATCTTCAGGTCGGCTTTCCTGTTCCTGGATGGATTTGGTGAATGTTTGCAGCGGGAACCTGTTGTGCGCCCGAAACACGAGGTTTGGTGATCCCGGCGGATGTGCGAAGTTGACGAGTTTGGAGACTGAAGGGAGGTGTTTGGGGTGATGCCCGTTGGTTCAGGGATCGATCGGCACGTTACAGGCAGATGTCGTAGATATAGTGGAGACAAGGACAAGCTGAAGACAACAACAAAAACAACACAACAAAGTGAAGCTATCGCCGTCTTTTCCCCTCCAGATGATGATGAGGATGGATCAGGAATGTAAGCAGGAGAGGAATGGAAGCGGACGGCGGCGTGTGTTTGAGAAATGGAAAAAGGTCAGCTCCAACAGTGTTTGAGCGAACCCCTGCAATTCCAGAGCGGGCCGCCTCCTTTTCGCTCCTTTTTTTCCTTGGCCGCCCCCCGTTGACCGTTCTCGACTCGACGACGGGACCCAGAGACTCGAAAGGACCAAACATTGCTTGACAGCGATCTCCCCAGTGGGCATCGTGACGGGGGGCGGGCTGAAAATAGGAATTCTACAGGACCACCACCCCCAAGTAAAATCAGCCCCTGCCTGTAGGGATCCATCCTCTTCGTCTCGCCTTTTGGTCCCAGCGAAATTGAAAAGGGCTTGGCATGCGAACTGAAGGTCCCCACATGCAGCACTGAGTGCACGGTCTCAGTCCAGCCTTTGCTCCGTTTTGGCTTTCCGTTTCTTGGTGTTTACTACTCTGTTTAGGTCTTCATAAGACCTGAACAAAAAGGTACGATTCTCTGTATTCAAAGAGACTGAAGAATATCGGGATATAAAAGGCTGCACGAACGAACCGTCTGGACTTGTTCCATAACCCCATTCAGCCAACGCCACTGGGACACAACGAGAAAGGGGAGCGAATAATCTTATCAAGAACTGTGCCGCATCTCACCTGCATCGATACCGTTCGCCGACTGTTTCTGAGAAGTGAGTGGGGAGGTCACACAAAGTTGAAGGATCTCCGTCAAGAAACGCACATTACATAGAAAGGTGTGGCTGAGCCTGACCACCCACCCTTTGCTTTGAATTGTACAGTAAACTGCCTACCTACGTAGCAAGCTACCATTTCGCTTCCATGTTCAATATACTGCTGAAAAAAGACCAGACCATGGGAGAACAATGGGTATGAGCCTCATCGGCCTCCTCCTCCTCTAATAACAAGCCAGTACTCTCCCCTCGCATCATTGTTGTCTGATAAATACTTCGCTTCCTCCTTTGAAAATCGACAACGAAAAGAGATAATGCATACTTCATATGCCTGTTCCTCACAAACCGCCCATCACTATTCTATTACACCCGTCCATGCAAGGTGGCTGATTCACCTACACCCATAGCTAAGACAAACCCTTCCCATCCGTCTTCATCACCACGCCCACTTATTTCGTTCCGGGTTATTTCGCTGGCCTTGCTGAGCGCCTGGATTTCTGCCAAACAAAAAAGTATCTGGATTGTCCTGTCCCTGAGCCGCAGGTGTAGTTGATACCGAAGAAGGTCGCCAATTCACCGCAGACGAGGAACGGCCCTGATTTCTGCCAAAAGAGAACTCATCTGGATTGCTCTGCTCTTGAGGCACAGGCGTAGTCGATGTCGAGGAAGATCGCCAATTCACCGAAGACGAGGAGCGTCCCTGATTTCTCCCAGAGGAAACAGTATCTAGGTTGTTCTGACCTTGAGCCACAGGTGTAGCTGATTGCGAGGAGGATCGCCAGCCGCTAACAAATTGGGAAGTAGTTGAATGACGCTCTTCTGCAACCGTTTCCGAACGCGACAAGCGACGCGAGAATTGGTCACCACCGGACTGATTGCGTAGGCGCGCTGAATCTGTGCCTAGACCTGTGCCTGTACTGCCTTGGTCTAATACAATGTCCCACAAAGACCGTAAATTTTCTTGTACTTCTTCAGCGTCCGACTTCGCCTGCTGTTGCCTTTCCGCATCCTGACTTCTTTGCAAATATGTATGGCCAATTATACTCTGATCAGTGCTTGTAGTCCCATGCGGTTGCGGTAGCACTCTTTGCCCGGCCGAATGCGATGTTTTATCTTCCTATGATCTGACATTAAATGAACCTGAACCGACGATCGGGCTGCCGATATCTCCGGGATGTTTGATAGGGCGGTATGGAGCTCGTGAAGCATCATCGTCCGGAACATAGCGAATGAGCGGGGTTCCAGTTGGCGACAAGGGGTCCCGCACAACAAAACTCCCACCGCCATTGGACGGGTTTCCTTCCGTATCGCATATATCAAGAACTTCTTTTTCGTTCACTGTAAACTGCTTCATATGCACCATGATTTCCCCCAACGGGATGAACCCATCGTAACTCGAACTACCACCAGCACCGAGATCCTCGCATACAGCGCAGAGCGCCTTGCGAAGTGTCACAGACCTCGGGGCACTACGCTCCACGATGGATGGATTTCGGCCCATAATCCCTGGCGGTGCCGCCTGGCTCCATGGTCCGTGATGTGACGATGATGGGAACCCCGGAGGCGGTGGTACGAATGGGTTGTGTTGAAGTGGAGGTACCGGATTCCACGGGTTGTTCTGGTGTGGCAGTGGAAAACCGGCTTCCATCCCAAACGGTCCCCCACCAAATCCAGGTGCAGGTCGAGCCCCGGGCGCAGACGTCCCAAGCAGACCAAAATGAGGCCGGGCAGGGAAATCTTGCTGAGTGTCATCAGGCTCAAGCAGTGCACTGCTCCCGAGATGTACTTCTTGTTCCGCCTTATCGGTTCCGTTCGTCGAGGACTCGGGTGATCGTCGCTGTCCATGGACCACGCTGGCCGGTCTTCCTATGGGCGTCGGCCGGCTGATGGGCTGACTTGAAGAGCCGACAAGCCCCGTTTCGAAGCTACCGGAACCCTGACGAGCGTGAGACGGCACGCTATCTTTGCCTATCAACGAGCTCAATCCAGAAGGCAAGCCTGCAAAGCTTGAGACAGGTGAATCCAGGGGCCCGGGGAATCCAGGTGGATGCATCGGCATTGCCCGTCCGCCTAATGGCGTAGGAAAACCTGGTGGCGCCGCCATCATCCCCGGTGCCACTCTGTTATAGCTGTTGGCGGGGTTATAGAAGGGAGGATATTGGGGCTGCATGTGGTTACTGAAACCAGGCGGGGGCTGAGGAGTTGGTTGGAATGGCATGTTCATCGAGGGGCCACCGAAGGGACTTGGCTGGGATTGAAGTGATTTGGGACCCGCGTTGACGGTTGCCGAGGGGGCGGGTGACGGTAAATGTACCCCGCTGCTTTGTGTCCCGCCCACAACAATCCCAGGCTTGCTGGGCGGCTTCATGGGACCAGGACTTGTATGTACTGGTGTTAATGTGTGTGGAGAAGGGTTTTGGCTAGCGGCTGATCCCGGCTGAGATGTTGACCCTGAAGACGTTGTGACACTCTCTTGCTGGTGTGTTTGACGACTCTGAGCGGGGGCTGGCGCTTTTGGAAACGCTGGGGTGGCGACGGGAATGACCGGCGAGGCGTATACTGCAGGTTGTTGCGGTAAGGCTGGTACTGCAGCCGGCACAGAAGTCTGAGCCGGCTGAGCAGGCCTCTTGGGCAGAGTGATGGGCACAGGCGCTGTGGTTGCGAGAGCCGCAGCCTTCTGCGCTGCTCGGTCTTCCTGCTTTGACTTCTCCTTTGCCGCCTTCGCAGCCTCCATCTCCGCCTTGGCTTTGGCCTCCCTTTCCCTCTTCTCGCGTTCCTGCTGCTCCTTTTGTTCCCTTGCCTCCCGTTCCTTTTGCTCGCGGGCCTCCTTCTCCTTGAGACGCGCTTCTTCGCGGGCCTTCTTCTCCCGCTCTCTGGCCTCTCGCGCTTTGCGCTCGTTCTCCTCCCGCTCATGATTGCGTCGTTGGCGTTCAGCTTCCTTGCGCTTTCGTTCCTCTTCCTCCGCCTTCTTCTGAGCATCCTTCTGTTTCCTCTTTTCCTCTTCTCTTTGCCTTCTCTGTTCTTTTTGCCGGTCTTCCTCGGCTTTCTTCGCTTTCTCCTCAGCTATCTTTTCCTCTTCACGGCGTGCCTTCTCTTCAGCCTGAAGCTCTCTTTTCCTCGCCTGCCTTTCCTTCTTCTTTTGGGCTTCCTTCTGCTTTTTGACCTGGCGTTCTTCGGTTCGCCTTTTCTCGTCAGCTATTTCCTCGAGCAGCATGTTTTGCCGTTCCCTAGCAACCTTTTCACGGTACGCAGTAAGGACCCGCTGCTCGAACATCCTGGCAGCGAAGATCTGAAACATCCGGCGGCCTTCTTCCATGCGCTGCTCCTCGGTCATGGTTTCCTAAACGACAGATTAATGACTCAACACTCCCCAAAACGGTGCGACACGTAGAACCCATACCTCTTCGTCTCCACTGTCATACTCTTCCTCGTCGTCATCATCGTAATCCTCGTCGTAATCGTCGTCGTCTACCTCATCATCGGCCGGGGGGTGATAATGGGCATTGCGGTCGCCATTGGTGGAGTGAGGAAAGGGGCTATTGAACTGCTCCCTCGCATCCTCCTCGCGAGCCATGCGCCGCTCGGCGAGCTGCTCCATCATTTCGATGAATTTTTTGCCGTCATTCTTCAGCAGGTCGTCGGCAACGGTTAGGATCCCGCCTAAAGAAGATGAGCCATAAGCGTTATTGCTAGTCCCCGGAGAGGGAATACTCTGTAGAAATGACGGAAGAATGGGGAATCTGTCCCTACCCTGCACAGTCAGGCTATTTCCGAAATTAAAAAAGTCTGCCGGGTAGTCGGACCGATGCAGTTCTTCTGAAGGCTCATCATCACTGTAATCATCCTCCTCCTGCTCATCCTCGCTGTACTCTTCCTCAACCTCTTCCTCCTCGTCATCTTCTTCGGCACCATGGTCGACTATTTGCCCATGTGAGGGCTGGTGGTGACTTGAATAGCTTGTCGGGAGGCCACGCGGGCGCATACCGGTCATAGAGCCGAACGAGGGGCGTCGCCCCAACATCGGAGGCGCTTCGCCCTGGTTGGGATGGTTTGCGTACTGTTCCA